TACCGGAACACGTAATATCAGCACCTCCTGTTGATATATCCAAATTCAGATTGGACTTCCACAGTATAACTGAAGACTTATTATTGGACACCTTTGCCTGGCTTATTCGTTTTACCTGTCTGACCTTGGCAGTCGTTCTTGTTGTGACAAGTAATTCCAAGCCTCTTGCTGAATTCAACACGTCGTGTCACGTCATTCGCACACTATAACTTTCAGTAGCCTGGTGGTTAGATTAGCCTCACTGGAAGTTGCTAAATATTTAAAACATTTTTCGTAAGTAACGCGCTTTCCAACCAACCCACGGCAATTGAACTACGGAATGACCGCCTCTAGTCAAGCCGTTCAAGGTCGTTGAAACGAAAGGGCGGGCACATTTCAAAAAGACCTAACGTTTAAACCTTGCCGAATCTATCCTGAGCTATACGTTCGGTAGATTACTTTTTTTTGAGTTTCACCATATTTAATAGTTACCTGTGGTTCTGCCTCAGCTTACTGTTCGGTTTTTTTGTTTTTCACGTATAGACTAGTTTCAGTTTATATTACTCGTTGTTATCCATTTTTGTCCGTTTTCAGTGTGCTTTTTAGTGTTTTTTAAAGGTCTTAGGCTTTTGCAAGCATCTATAACATATTTTGCTTCAACATAGTCATGAAAAACTCATGCAAACGTCCGGGATGCCGTTTTGCTGTTACAACTGACATGCAGTGCGACAACTGCAAAGGTTGGTTCCACGAAGCATGCACAGATCTGACAGCAACTGCTTACAACAGACTCAGCAAGTCAGACCCAAAGTGGGTATGTGTCACGTGCAGCACGGACGCTGTAGTCTTGCTGAGTAACATCATTGTCCTACTGACAGGTCTTCGGAACAAGTTTTCAGTTAACTTGAATAACGATAGTAAATAAACCGGTAGACAAACAAGAGCATGCGACGGATACAAAAATAGGGATGTCGACAGGTATACCATCGATGGAGCATCCATCAACACTGATGATGACGTGTCGAGGCTCAGCACCATCATTACGTCGACGGTATTAGACTCCCTAAGCAAACTCGGGTCTCCCAGCTCAGGGTCGCTGGACACGACCGTGGTTCCCAAAAACCCTGTAGGTGATTCGGCCCACGTTAAGAGAGCCCAAAAGAACCAGGCATCACCGCCTAAGCCGAGCAACCCGAGTATTGCTGTACGGAAAATAACTTGTGATTCGGTCGCACAGTCTACCCCCAAGACTGTTCGTCCGGTCAATAAAGAGCCCAAGACTCAAAAACGCGCACTGACCTCCAAACAACAAGTTATTAAACATGAACCCATCGTGAAACCTGGTAAATTAACAACAGTTCGTGACGATTCTCTCATTATCATGAACCTCGTTGACAATCCTGACCTTCCTCTCAGTCTGCAGGACAAAAACGACAGGATGCTGTGGGGTGAATTGAACAAGAAGCTCGAACTTCCTAGAATAGAGCCTTTGATGGTCACCCGGCTCACTCGAGGAAAGGATTCTAAGCATCTAAATCACCCGAGGCTTCTCCAAGTAACACTCAAGAATGCTACCGAAGTAGAGGACGTCTTGCTAGCAAGTCACTTGCTGAAATCCGATGGTAAAGTAAGAATATTGCCCGACATACCGTACTCTGAGCGCAAAGAATCTCGCGAGTTTTTCCGCGAAAGAAACAACTGTGCAAGGTATACCGGAAAATGCAGACCCTACTCATTCAAATTCTGACATCAGGGAATGGAAATTCATCAAACAGTCCTTGAGGCTCAAACACATACTGACTCAGCATGTGACGAGACTAGCCAAGAAGGACGGTGATCTTAGACCCCGTCTAATGAAGATAACCTTCTCATCTTCCCGCATGGCGGCTGCAGTTCTGGAGGCATTTCGTGCCAACAGACGTCGATTGCCACCTGGAATCCACATGCACCCGGATAGGCCATATGAAGCTAGGACCAAGCACAAAGGCAAGTTGGAGCTGACCATTCCACTTGTGGACTGTCTAAATGATAAAAAACGTGTAAAGGACAGGGCCTACCACCTCGGCAAACCTCATATAGGTGAGCTACCTGTCCATTCACATAAGGCTCATACAGAAAAACAGGACGAAGCTCACGCGTTCCAAATTGAAAGCATAAACTGCTTATATATGAACGCCGCAAGTCTACCAAACAAACTGGATGAATTACGTGAACTTAGTAACGCTAATAAGGCCCGTCTGATAGGAATATCTGAAACCTGGATATCTTCTCAGTTCTCGGACCAAGAATTAGCATTACCTGGGATGACTTTGTTCCGTAACGACAGGAAAACAGGAATTGGGGGTGGAGTAGCCATATACATAAGCTCTTGCTTGGAGGTGCACCAAGTTCACAACCTCGAGTTTAACAATCTTGAGGAATCCATATGGTGCTGTGTTAGATTGTCAAGTACCTCGAGGTGTCTAGTCGGAGTCATTTACAGGAAGCCAACTGTCGACATCGAGTACGATAGTCGTATGCTGGAAGGACTATCCCGCTCTACTCGTCTCGGTTTCACACACATCCTGATTCTAGGGGACTTTAATCTCCCTAGAGTCAACTTCGCGGACACACGTACACTGGAGGCGACAACTCAATTGAAGCTCGGTTCTTCAACCTCATCGATGACTTGGGCTTATATGAAAATGTGAGGTCGGCAACTCGTTGGAGAAACAGTCAGACACCATCGCGCTTAGACTGTTTATTCACAAACGAAAAATTCCTAGTTGACAACCTCTCAATCCTGGCTCCTCTGGGAAAGAGCGATCATGCCGTCATAGCCTTCAGTTTTGTCATCAAAACTAAGCTAAGGTATCACAACAATAATTTGCGTTGGAATTTTAAACGACTGAATGTGCCAGCTCTACATTGACTATGTATAACAGGTGGTTTGGGATGTTCACCCTCAACTCGATGTGGACGGTCATTGGGACTTCTTACTGCACACGCTCTTATGTGCTACAAACCATTCAGTTCCTCAAACGGTTGCCAAAAGCTGCAAGCCACCTACAGTAATCAAGAATCGTACCCTTCGCCTGCTAAGCCGCAAACGGCACTGTTGGGCGGAACACAAACGAACTGATAACTACGGGGCGTATAGGCAATATAAACATATAAGGAACACATGCACGAAGGCTATAAGAGAAGACAGGCTTCAGTACCAGACAAAGCTTATGGACAAATTTGCCTCTAACCCTAGAAGCTTATTCCGTTATGCAGCCTCTCTTCGTCAAGCCAAAACTGCTAGGTCTTAACGGCCCGACTAACAACGATGGCGACGCCGCTAACCTTGTGGCGGCACATTGCTCTCAAACATTTCAACCGACTGACATCAACTTTACTGACAACAGTTTCATCTGCAATTCCACAGGACTTTCCGAAGTGGACCTAAGCGCTGACTTGGTGTTCCGGAAATTGCAGCACTTAAGACTCGATACTTCTCCTGGCCCGGATATGGTTCATCCTGCCAGACTGAGGGAGGCAGCCTCAATCCTGGCAACGCCGCTTAGTGTAATGTTTTCACACTCGCTAAGCCGAGGCAAATCACCGGAAAATTGGAAGTTGGCTCACATCACACCAATTCTCAAAGGAGGTCGACGCAATGAACCTTCAAGTTATCGGCCGGTGGCTCTTCTGTCATTACCTTCAAAACTCATGGATTCTCTGATATGCGACGGTTTAAACGACTATCTACTGTCCTTAAATTTCTTCTCACCCCAACAGCATGGTTTCAGGAAGGGTTACTCTTGTATAACCAACCTGCTGACTGCGGTGGACAGATGGACAAGCATCCTCAATCGCAAGGGAAAGGTTGATATCAATTACCTTGATTTCTTAAAAGCTTTTGATAAGGTTAACCACTTGTGTCTTATCAATAAGCTCAAACGACTAGGTATCAAACCACCTTGATCGATTGGCTTGCTTCATACCTAAAAAATCGACACTTTAAGGTTAGGGTTAATTTCACTTTATCTCAGGCTATAGAATGTCCTAGTGGGGTCCCCCAGGGCTCAGTACTAGGGTCTCTTCTCTTCTTGATCTACATAAATGATCTTCCTCAACAGGTAACGTCAGACTTATTACTTTTTGCCGACGACGAGAGAGAGATACGCAACCAAGATGATATACAGGCACTTCAGGAGGATCTGACTAGACTTCAAAGTTGGGCAGACGATAACGGACTTACCTTTAACACTTCAAAGTGTAAAGTAGTCCATCTGTGACATGTCGCAAACTACAGTTACAACTTAGGAAACTCCTCTCTAGTAGTATCCCAAGTGGAGTCCTGGTGCCCCATGATTTAAAGTCTTACGCTAACTGTGACAAAAATGCCTTCCGAGCAAACCTTGCACTGGTAACGTTGAAGCGCATTTTCGGTCAGTTTGACGGACGAACTTTCCATACAATCTTCAACAGTTTCATCCGTCCCCATTTAGAGTACGGAAACATAGTATTTCCTCCCTCACTCCAAAAGGACAAGGTCACTTTGGAGCGTATCCAACGGCGAGCCACGAAATCAGTTCGAGGACTCAAATCTAAACCTTACGAAGAACGCCTCCATTCACTAGACCTTTACCCATTAGAGTATAGTCGTCTTAGAGGTGATTTATTAATGGCTTATAGTATTCTTAACACTTCTGGACATCCTCTTAAACACCTACTTAAGCTTAGTTCGAATAATAACCTAAGGGGTAACACCCAGAAACTGGAGACACAACATAGCAAGACGGAATGTAGACACAACTTCTACTCCTTAAGAGTTGTCAAAAGCTGGAATTCGCTGCCGGTCGAGCGAGGCAACTTGACCTATTCTTAAGGACCAAGGTCAGCATCACACTATGATTTACCAATTTCTTTTCCTCTTTTATTGTTAACATACCTAGGTTCCTGTCTGGAGGATTTGGTGATCCCCTGCTACTAGACACGGAAGCCTGTTAAGCGAAAGCTTCTATTCCATCCACAACCATTTGAACCATTTAAAAATGAGTACAAATTGTAGGCAAGGGAAAGTCGAGGTTAGTGGTAAGTATTAATGTATGCCAAACATTTTTCTATGAATCATTTTGAAAAAACATCAAGATCACTCGCTATTATCTGAATTTAATCAAGATGTTTGTCTTCAGCTTATTAATGGTCAGAAGGTCGGAAAGGGTATGTTTACATTCTGCTCATTAAATTTAAATATTTTCCAAATTCTAAAGATTCTGAAGCCCAAAGTCATAGTATTTTGAGTAATTATTTCACTGAAGAAATAAATTCGGACGATCCATTCGGTTCTGTTTGTGACTCAAATCCTAATGAATTGGTAAGAGAGGTCAGTTTATTAATTCATTTTACACTTCGTTAAAAAGTTATTACAATGGGGCTTTCAATTTTTGATTTTGGCATTTGCGGACAGACTTGTATAATGAACAATAGTTCATGACTGTTGTATAATTAGTAACTTCACCTGGTTACTGGTATTCGGTTACATGGGAGAAATTCTGAACCTGGTAATCAGTAATTAAAAAACGGGAACATGTTCTTTCTTCCAAGTGTAGGTCATGAGGTAACAGCAGCTTTATCGACCACTATGTTTTTTTTGTAGAAACTCAATAAAAATCTGAGGTAAATTTATCGACATTCAGAACCAGCTCTTGATGATTTTTTTACTTTCTCTTAAATTTTGGGTTCTTGTAATAGGGTTTCCAATAATTTGGGTGGAAACGTATTAAAAACCTGGCTACATCATCTGTTTTTGAACCATGTCAACTCAGCTTCAATCCCATATACTACTTGACTGGACTCTATAGTTTGTTTGTTAACATATCACAGATAAAATATTCAGATCGCTCACTAAAAAGTTTTATCAGGTAGCAATGTACAATATAAGGTGTTTTTATGAGAACTTAAAGTCAACAATTAGAAAAGGTATCTCAACAATAAAGGTGTTTATCTCCGGGCTCTTAATTCATTATAACGATTTGGAAACTGGATAAATGGAACTTTTTTACTGGTCTTTTTTTATTGGGTCTTCAACTTTTGCCAATACTTTCTAAAAAATGGTCGTGATCATCACCTGTTTTAGGGAAGTACATATCCACCAAAGTTACTAAACAACTACCAACGTGGCAACTGTGTCAGTTTGGGTTGTCATACCACATTAGTACAAGATAAAATTTGAAAAATGGATAACAAGAGTTCACGTAGTGTAATAGCGAATGTCCGGCGCTTTAACGGGGTTGGTGGGTACGGAGGGTTCACCTAGAGGAGTTGGAAAATCCTGATTTCAAATCACTGGTGCACACGGGCTCTAGGATCCTAAGGAAACAAATGACGTATGAACCTATTGTTGATTACCGGCTACCATGGAACTTCATCTCCTGACATCACACTGCCTTGTGGATTAGACCGTCGGATCAAGGGCTCGGGGAGTGTTTCCTAAAGAAAGCCACCTGCTTCGGTTTGGACACTCGGGCAGTATCCCAGCCCTCACACATCGAATGGTTTATGTGGTGCATATCTGTTTGATGCGTCCTTGTACTAATGTTTGTATGTTTGAATAAATAAATAAAAATAACAGCGCTAATCATAAAAACTAAACACTAAATATATGGTTTGGATAGACTCGATACAAGAGTACTTAAAATCGAGATCTAGAGTAAGATAAAGAATGAATGCATTTGATAATATCATGAAACATAAACAACTAGTTTCAGATGTCTCGCGCACCCCAAACAGGTAATCTGAGTCTACGAACATTGGTCAGATCGGTAAGTCAGTCATATACAACATAGAACCCGATGCATCGGTCGAAGTCGCCACACAACATTAGCACAGCGTGTTAGAGTGATCAAGACATCTTACTGTAGTAGAAAAAGTCACAGTATAAATAATATTGGTGGTAGTCGTATTAGTAGCAATAGAAAAGAATAAGTATCCCAACAAAGAAAAATATCTAAGGAAGTTTCAGGTCCTAGGGCCTGAGAGAGGACAGAATAAATGCATCTGAGTCACTACAAACTATTTCAGTCAGTCAGTCAGTAACAACGTAGAACTTCGTACGTACGTACATCAGTTCGAGTTGCCACACCACATTAGCACAGAGATGCAGTGGTCGATTCAAATCCCGTAGTGGTAGAGGTAGCAAGAGTATAAGCAGTAATCGGGAAGATTAGGGTTTGGAGATGTTATTTAAAGAGTATAATCCAGTGAAAGAAATTTGGAAAGAGGGAAAAAGGGACATGAAGAATTCAGAAGATTAGAGTTTGGGAGAACACAGAGAGTGGATGCACCTGCGCCATTGCGAACGATTTTGAGCCATGTCATTCAGGGTCTCTAACCATCGGTTGCTGTCATCTCGCGGTCCCCAACCAGGTAGTCTACACCTACCAACATGACTCAGTTCACTTGTCAGTGACTTCATGGACTTGTGCCATGTTTTGGTTTGGCCGCCCCTAGCTTTCTTCCAACCTACTCCTATACCACTGAACATAGCACGTCGAGGCAGTCGGTCGTTGGGCATACGTAACACGTGTCCCAGCCATCTCAACTGATGAAGTTTCACTACGTCATCAATTGATTTGCCATCCTTACCTAGTACCCGTTTCCTAACAACTGTGTTACTTACTCGATGGTCCCATGATATACGAGCAATGTTTCGAAGACACCTATGATCGAATACTAGTAACCTACGGATATCCTCTACTCTTATCGGCCATGTTTCACTGCCATAAAGTAGGACGGAACGAACTGCTGCGCAGTAAACACGTCCTTTGGTTGATAGACGGATATCTCGCCTACGCCATAAATGACGCAAGTTGGCAAAAGCTAGTCGAGCCTTCTGTATCCGTGCTGAGATTTCGTCACACATCAGACCACAAGGGCTGATGAGACTTCCAAGATCAGTGAAGCGGTCGACACACTCAACTATTTCACTCCCTATCACTAGTTCGGGTGTCGATGTAACCCAATCCTTAAGCAACATTTTGCATTTCGAGGGAGAGAATCGCATCCCGAACATTCTTGCATTGTTGCTTAGAGTGGTCAGAAGACTCTGCATTTTGTCAGCGTCTTCACCAAATAAAACTATGTCATCTGCATATTCTAAGTCAACAAGTGAACCTCCTGGTAGAAGTTCAACCCCTGTAAATTTAGATGAGGAGAGTGTTATCTCTAAAAGTACGTCAATGACAAAGTTGAACAAGAATGGGGAGAGTGGACAGCCCTGACGAACACCACTTGAGGTGATCAATTCTGATGACAGTTCGCCATAAGCTCTCACTCTACCAGTTGTGTTCGAGTAGAGAGCCTTTATAAGGTTAATGTACTTCTTTGGTACTCCTTTCAGTGACAAACACTGCCATAGAACCTCACGATCAACGGAGTCGAATGCCGCCCTAAGGTCGAGAAATACTACCATTGTGGGGCGTCTGAATGTGTGTCTGTGTTCTAGAACCTGACGTAGTGTGAATATCTGATCTATACAACCACGTCCAGGTCGAAAACCGGCCTGGTATTCTCTAGTCTGCTCTTCACGAGCTTTAGTTAGGCGTCGAAGTATGATTGAGGCTAATATTTTAGATACTATATTTGTCAAACTGATTCCTCTGTGATTGTCACAAGAGGACTTTTGTCCTTTCTTAAAAACTGGCACAATCAGTGATTGAGACCAGTCAGATGGGATTACGTCCAGTTCCCAAATTCTACCTAAGACCTCAGTTAATCTTGCTGCTAATACTGGACCACCATCCTTAAAAATCTCAGGAGTAAACCTGTCAGGGCCTGCTGCTCTCCCTCGTTTCAGATTTCCTATGGCTTTTTCAACTTCGTAAAGGGACGGAGGACTTACATTAACTTGCCATTCAGGTTGACTGGAGATCGTGGGAAACCGAAGTGTGGCTGAAGGCCAGTTGAACTGATCCCTAAAGTGTTCTGCCCATCGATCCAATCTCCTGGATTGAGAATGAATAATATGTCCATCTTTCTCTGAGATTGTTTCGCTAACGGTCGGGTTCCTAATTCCGGTTTCCTTAACGAGTCTAAACAATTGTCTGCTATTACCTATTGCCGCTGCCTTTTCCATCTCTCTTGCTTTCGCTACCCACCACTGTTCGCGATCATTGCGTAGACTTCTTGTCAGCTTGCGCTTAAGCTGACTCCGCTCTTCATTATGTTCAGAGCCAGGTGGAAGGAGTTTTCGAGCATCTATCAGTGCGATAGATGCTGCTGAGATCCAGTGTTGCTCCCTAACTTTACGGTTTACCTTACTAGCAGATATCACTGCTGTTTCCACAGCTTTTCGGATATCGTTCCATGCTGCCTCGGGGTGGGCATCACATACATGGCTGCCTAACTGTTTTCCTAGTTGTTCCTGAAATATATTCTTAGCTTGACTATCATTAAGTAGGGCCCTAAGAGGTTTCCTTGCAGTAGTGAAACTTCATCAGTTGAGATGGCTGGGACACGTGTTACGTATGCCCGACCACCGACTGCCTCGACGTGCGATGTTTTATGGTGTGGGAGTAGGTTGAAAGAAAGCTATGAGCAGCCAGACCAAAACATGGCACAAATCCGTGAAGACACTGACAAGTGGACTGAGCCATGTTCATAGGTGTAGACTACCTGATTGGGGTCCGCGAGATGATAGCAACCGATGGTTAGAGACCCTGAGTGACATGGCTCGAAATCGTTATTAATGGCGCAGGTGGACCCACTCTTTGTGTTCGCCCAAATTCTAATCTTTCGAATTCTTGATGTCCCTTTCTTTTTTTTCTTCCCAAATTTATTTCACTGGATTGTACTCCTTAGATGACATCTTCAAATCCTAATGTTTCCGATTACTGCTTATACTTTTACTACCTCCACCACTTAAGGACTTGAATCGACAATTGTGTCTGTGTGCTAATGTGGTATGGCGACTTGAACTGATGTACGTACGTAAGAAGTTCTACGTTGTTACTGACTGACTGAGTAGACATGTTAAGGTATGCAGTGAGTGATCTTGAATACGTAATACATGTCCCAACCGTTTCGGCTGGTACAGATTCACTACCTTATCAACCAATTTGTTATCGCTACCTGGTACTCTGCGTCTAACCTCAGCGTTGCTTTCTCGGTGGTCCCAGAGTGCACAGATAATGCTTCAGAAATACCTATGATCGAATGCTAGTACCCTATTATTATTATTATTATTATTATTATCACCGGCTTTATTCAATATTATATTTTTGGTACAATATAGAATTCTCAGCGTAAAGTATTTCAACAAGTTTCCGTTTCTTTCTTCTTGGTCGGTCCTGGCGATAAATATCGAGTGATCGCCCGCTAGATGTTAGTAGTTCAGTAAATGAACATCTGAATAATGTGCATTCTTTTCGTTTTATATTTCCAGCAACCACATTGTCTCTTATTGAGTTTTTTGTAACCTTGACAACGAAAGGTTGTACACTTTTCAGAAACGCAGCAGAATAGGTTATGCGATTAATAAACATAATGATCTATTAAAACAAACAAAAACAGATAACTTGTTGAAATATCTAGATGGCAGTAACAGGTAGCCCAGATGCTCAAGCAGACCGCCCTACGAATATCCCTTGTTCTTAATAGCTCCTTATCGTGTTTGAAACCTATCGGGATACGTTTTCCAGCATCTATCAATTAAGTAGATGCCATCAGTATCCAGTGGTTTTTCAACCTATTGGTTTAAGTCACTGGTAGATATCACAGCTGTTTGTATATCATGCTAAGCCACATCTGGATGATCATTACTCTCATGATTCACTAGCTGCTTTTCTAATTGTCTCTGAAATATACTTTGAGGGTATGGTCGTTAAACTGAATTGTGATCAGTCTTTCTTTTGAGACTACTGCGTCCCGTAAAATGTACTAGAGTATGATTAAAGTCCAAATATATGCTTCAGAATGAGTCGGTCTTCTATTGAGCTTCTCTAACAGAGGCTGATTGCAATGTATTCTATTTGGGTCTACCGTTGAGTCGGTTGCCCTATCAGACGAATGCGTATATCGTGCTCATAGTTGGTGCTTGCTAGAAATAAACAATTGTCCGAGGATAGCTGCAGCAACCAGTCACCGTTATATGTTCGGTTTACTCACTCAATCTTTCCTATTTTTTCACGGAATTTCCTCCGATTAGCCCTTTTATTTGACTACTTATTTATCAATGTGCTTATACAGTTTCTAATTCTTGTTTTAGTGTTGATGACACTGGGGCTTATAGAAAAGGGGAACAACAAATATTTGTTACATAGTATTAAAGTTTACTCGTATACAGACATGTATACGCTATGATTTCTCTCCACCTATCTAACAGCTTTACGCTATTTTCATAGCCCAAATCACCTAGCAATACTGATCTATCAAAATGCTCTCAGTTGGATCCTAAACAAGATGTAACGAGTTTGAACCGTCTAAGACAACGAGATGCCTGGTTGCCTTCTGAATCTACTCAAAAAGCATTATTGAGTCCAAGTCCCGAAAACAAGTTAGTTGAGGTAAAACCTATTCTCATGGGCAAAGATTATGAGATTGGCGGTAGTGGTAGCACTTCTGCTTTTGATCCATTCCATTATTTGTTGGCTCAGTATACGGGCGATGAACCAAACGTTAATGCAATCCAACGGGTTCCATCTATTGAACTGAGGAGTCAAAGTGGTGATGATCTCAAAAAATTAATTGTAAGTTGTTAACTCTTCAATGGGGTGCATATCACAATTCAGTTATTAAAGATTCCCATTGTGAAAATCAGAACAACACATATAAGCGAACAATTGTTTTCAATTAGATTGTCATCAGGCTTTACTCTAATATACATGAATATTTATACGAAAATGTTAAATCAATCAAGGCAATATGGGTCAATAATCACAATGAAATATAATAGGTCACCACACATAATAAGTAAAAATACAAGTTGATAGTAGGAAGACAGGTGTATTGATAGTAGTAAGAATAATAAAATACGATAACAAAAGTCTTATCAGTAGTTGAAAGTTGGAAATAGAAGGTCAAACGTGGGTAAATAGACTTGGAATAGTCATCACAAAACATTAAAATCATTACGTAATAAGAAGCGTGTAAATAATTAGATAGTGAAGAATACAAACGGCAAGAAGCAGAGAATTACAAACAAATACTAGATGTGAAAACAAGGCTAATGATAACAAAGATAACATTTTCATATGAACAATTCAGTTAGCAATTGCATTATCTTAAGGTTAGCCTATTTGCACATTTTGATCTTTCTATGACGCTAGTCTACCTCTAATAAGTTTGATAACTATGGTAGCCTGATTCCTACATCTATTATATCAAGAGTGGATCTGATATTTGATAATTAAGATTTATTAACAACTTGATGTCTACTACTTTTAATGTGTCACCTGTCAAAAGCGAACTATACTATATCATTGAGTTATCATTCTGCTTTATTGACAGTAGTTTTCCTGGCTTGTAGATATTCTTTACAAAGGGCTACGTGTTCCAGAACCTCTGTGAATGCGTTTTCTTGTAAGGCATACTTAGTAGCTAAATAAACTGCTAATAATTCTTTGCTAGTTCTGTTGTAGGACTTCTCGGTGGAAACAGGTTATCGTTAGTTATCATGCAACTCTTGTCGTAGTATTTATCCGACAACAATATTTCATGCGTCTCAACAAAAATAAGAATACTTTGACGTCGCTACAAACAAAAACGAATTTTTTGTCCACAAACTGTTTGGTTTCATATGACTTAATGTATGTATATATGCTCATATATAATATTATATGTATTTGGGTGAGGTTTTAATTTAAACGAAATTCCTCTCCAGCTAATTGCTATGTTTCAGCTTTCTGTTTGTGGAACAGTTGGTTGACTTCTAGGCCTAAACTTCATCCCACATACTTATGTTTGCGTAACCTCATAGTATTATTAGCCCTGGCTTACAGTAAATAACTCAAAACTGCATACACGTACTTCTGTCCCATTACTGAATTAAATCGAAGTTCTTTATTGGCTTAAGGTATAATACACTAGGTGTTTATAACATTGAAAATTCAAGAATCCACCATCTCCATCTGTTTCTTTTCTCTCTTAGAACAATGGATGGTATACTTGTGCACTGAATCTTACTTATCGTATTCTTTCAGCAGCTGGTTTTAAAAATGACGAAAGTGAGGCCGTTTTATCTCCATATACTGCTCAGGTAAACATTGTGCTATTGTTGTAACATAGATTACTTTAACGTGTAAATATATCACCTATTAAAATTATTTGAATTGTAAAATATCACTGGATTAAAATATATTTATTGTATGTATTTGATTATTCTTGATCAATTCGGCTTCAATTTAAATTGATCGTAAATGACTAGTTTTTTATTTCCTCTGATATATGGTTTTGTTTCATTGCATATTCACCGAATAACTCAATTCATCATTTTTATTTATCATAAGTTTCAACTGACGTTCCCTTTTATTTCGCCTCCTCTTTGTCATCTGGATCATATAATAGCCGATTCATTATATAAGTGTGCCTTTTCATATTATTGAATAAAAATTTGTATTTTTAATATATATATATCTTCCTGCTGATGTTTAAGACTTAAGTTAATCAATCTTTTCGGTGTATGCTACTTATGTCCGTCGACATAAGTAGTAGTAGAAGACTAAGAAGATCAAGCTGAAGAGAATAAAAAAAGTTAAATAGAAAGGAATTACGAATAGTAAGAATCATATAGAATGCTGAGGTTGGATGATGGAAATTTGCAAATGAAGTATTCAATGTATGGTTCTCATATTTTACAAAGACATTTTGTAATTTTTTATTAAAATACGATTAGTTGTTCCCTATTTGTGTTCTCGTTCACAACATATGTGCATCCTGTGCGGGTTGCCTTTATATTCGTAGCAAGTCATAAACATACAAAGCATAAACGGAGATGGATGGCGACTAGCAGTGGAATCCAGGACGCGTGTTTTGTCCCATTCGGGACTCGTCAGCTGGGTGTACCTGCATGTTAGAGTCGTGTTCGCTCCGAGACTCGAATCCATCACTTTCAGGACTGATCAATTGCAGTGCTGAACATCGATGGGAAAATCGAAACAACCAATGTATATATGAATGAGAATCAAAATTCACCCCATTGCTCAAACCATAGGCTATCTGAACTCAGTCGCCAATTGGATGATAACACGATGGCGTTTGAAGCGAAAGGCATCGTTTCGAGTCACGGAATGAACATGAACATCCATCTGACGAGTCCTAAATGGAACGAAATGCGCGTCTCAAACCCCACTGCTAGCCACCATCCACCTCTTTAGAAATCTGTATGCTTCTTTATCTCTCATAAATTTACATGCATTCTTAGCTAGCATATGCTTAGTTTAATCTTCCTTGCATCTTTTCACTCTTTGGGGCCGTATTTTTTGCTTGTTTTTTATGCTTTTCCTTCTTATGGTTAGATAATGGGGTGGTAGTTTTGTGGATAAAAGACAGGATTATCAGGCACTAGACTTCAGACTTGAGCCTATCAAACATTTGATTTCGGCTGTCTAGTAGTATCTTTGGTCTTCGGAAAATTATTTGATTTTTTATGTGTCATATGCCTTTGTTAATAAGAGTGGATTCTAAGTTTATGTTACAGAAAACCTTTATTACACAACATTAATCTAGTATCAAAGTAAATAGTTTCACCTCAAAACCCTTGACTAAATAGACATATTTATAGTCTTGAGTTGATAGATAATATCGCTTTATTATTCTTTGGCATAAAAGTCACCCAAACTCCACGTCATCAGCTGATAATCGCCGCCCGCAAAAATTGCATTTGCACCATCGAAATGTATTTTTAGTCAGCCATAGACAATGTGGGACGTGATACAATTATGTATCGGTGCAAGTTATCAGATATGGCTCAGAATAGAAGCCAGTGGCGATCCTGCTGTAACCTTTTACTTTCTTCATAAAAAGTGGTTATGTCTCCCTTAACTGAAAGATTTCTTCCGATTGTACCTTTCCGTTCCCTCATTACTACCACCAATCTCTTCGTTATTGTCCTCTTTTTTTTACGCTCCTTACCTTTTTTTTCTTTTCGAATTCCCATTGTTTTGTGTGGCGCATATATATTGGCGCTCTCTTGTACCAATATTTATGTGTTCAAATAAATAAATAAATGAGTTACCATATCTCAAGTGAACATATTCAAATGGAATTAACAAAATTTATGGTATAAAAGTTGAGATAATATCATTGCTAGTGAATACTAAGTGTATGAAGTATAGTTAACAAGAAACTACTTGATTTAAAGACTCAATGAAATGAAATAATATTAAAACCCAATATGTAGAGAGGAAGATAGAGAGTGAGAACAACTATACCACGTTGACTGATTTTAAGCAATTATCTAGGGATTTCCACCACAGTTTACTATTATTTCACGAAGTGTATATTTCACATATCTCAAACCAGCGGTCTCCGATTTTATAGATTGGTACCATGTACTCAATTGAGGCTCCAACGATAACCAAAGTTATCAAATTAACAATTTCACTACTTGTTTTAAGGTTAAGCATGGACACAAGTTCCTTCTGAACCAACATTTTAGATTTACAGTATGGGGTTGAGGTCGTTGACACAGCCGTCGAGTGCTTTCAGGTTTTCAATGAGTGATCTAACATTTATCGGTTCATAGTTTCAATGAAGTTTTAGATTTAATGAGTCTTCTTCAAGAGTTTCTGACAGTTAGGTTAAAATAGATAAGTTGGACAGCCATAACAAATAACATTTGATGCCAGCAATTCTACTGGTACGATTTATATCATTTTCATAAAGAATCTTTAATAAATTGACTCACTTTATTGACAATTCTTTCGATGAAACACTGTCGAAAGCTGTTATTTCCACGAAACTGGCGAGAACATTTGCCTTCAATCATCTTCGATAGCGGGGCTATGAAAATAATGTAAAGGTTCATATATCTGGATAGTCGTTTGACTGTCAATACTAGTAAGGAGAACAAATTCAATCCTTCTAAAACAATCTGAGCCATATATTGCATCATCATAATTGTTGTATGGTCGTAAAAAATTTGGTGTGTATTAATACGGAATGTTCAGTTATATTTCATACTTGCAAATATGGTCTCTTTTAGCTCAAAACCTTTGATAGCGGTGTGTGTAATTACTATTTCCGAAGAATTTATTCCACTCAGTGATAATAATATATAGAAAATCATGAGGTATGACATGTGTTTGGACTCAATTTAGTCCATCATTCATCTGATTAATTCATTTTTATGTGTTTACGGTGATGACCTGAGCGCATGGCACTCATTTTGTTCCAATTACTGCCATACTATGCGTTGTCTACTGACTGAGGCTAGTGACTTGGTTCAGCTGAACGACTGATAGTTGTGTAACAAGCCAATGTGTTGTAAATAAATAACGACATATGACTTGGGAATTTTTGAATTACAAGATAGATTGCATATTTTTCTCCATGTATTAATGTTATGAAAATAATAATTAACCACTACTGTTCTTGTTGATTGCTTGTTTTAGATTTGGTTGTGTCGATTGGCCTTATTAGTTCGTACGCAAAATTATAAATTGGCTGAACATGAATTTGCTACTTTTCATAACATGGAAGCACCGAATTTCTATTTTGAATATTTTCCCCAAAGATATCCTGGACGGACAGGTACTGAAGTATATATATATATATATATATATATATATATATTTATAGGGGTGTTGTGTTCATTGAGCTAAATGATTTAGTCGCAGAGCTTTCAATTCCATTCTTGACATCTTAAGCGCCTATTTCATGTAGAAGTTACTTCACAGGTGCTATGTCAGCTCGTCCTGATGGCTTTGCTTGTGATTGGCTGTCTTGGTTGATTTTTCTGTTTTCACCTGCTCTCGGTTTTCTGTTTGACTATCTTTGCCGTTGATCTCTGACCTTGTGATTGATTTCGTCGTTTCTCTAATAGTCTCTATATACATAATCATTTGCATGCACTGATATCATCAATAATATATCGTATCACCTTACTGTTTATTTATGGGTAGGTGAAGGAGGCGTCCACTTTTTTTAATATATTCTTCACAGTTTAACTTATATTGTAGAGGGTATTGAATATTCCTTCTTTTACTGTTGTGTCTTTTGGCGTCCATAGTGTGGTTGTGTTAGTTTCTGAACCTCATCGATCTCAAAAGACTCCAGAATCCCTATGACAGTTTCAGAGATATTTTTCACATACGGTAGCACAACTTGTTTCTCGGTTTCCGGGATTGGTTACTTAACGATATATCTATTGATTAGGCACTTTTTAGTGAATTTTTCGGGAATGCCATTCTTATGAAAGACTAACAGATGCTTTTCCTAAATTTTTCATGTGGTGGGAGTGCTGCAGTTGGCTTAGACTCTTTTGGTCAGTGTCTGGACACAACTGTTAGCATGTTGCCAGATTGTTACTGTATGACTTGGTTCCCTGCATACTAGTTTTTCTCCGTTGATTAGAACGTTCAGGAATAATATTTTGTTTCCCATATCCTTTGTAATTGTAAGATTATCGAATATTTTGTCGGTTAACTTATGAGTATTCTTAGGTTTGTTACTTTTGAAGATAACAAATTTGTTATCTACATAACGTATTCAAATCTTTGGCTTGATCATTGACAAAGTTGTAGCTTCAAATCTTTTCATTACAGCTTCTGTGATTGGTGAAGCGAATGTTCGGCGCTTTAATCGGATCCCAAACCAATGGTGCACACGGGTTCCAGTATCCTGAGGGGACAAATGGCGTATGAACCAATTGTTGGTCACCGGCTTCCATGGGACTGCATCTCCTTACGATGCTCCACTGCCTTATAGATCAGGCCTTCAGATCGAAGGCTCGGGGAGTGGCCCCCTAAGGAAGCCACCTGCTTCGGTTTGGGCACCCGGGCAGTATCACAGCCCTCACACATATCGAATGGGATTTGTGTGGCGCATATGTTTTTGGTGCCTTGTACCAATATCTATGTGTTAAAATAATAATAATAATAATCTGTGATTAATCCTGATATAGGGTACCTTATAGTAGTCTTTTTTATTTGTCAGTAAATCTGACTACTGAATTGGAAGTACGTTCAAGAAACAGATCTGTGAATTCTGTCAATTTCGAGTACTATATTTTTGTGTTCTATGAGTTCATCGTTGCTGAGAAGTCTTGATATTGTATTTGTAATGAGCTTCGCTTTTACTAAAAGTGAAATGAACCGCAAAATCCAAGGTCATTGTTACTTCGTCGTTGGTCAGTTGTAAATTTTTGATCTTGTTTCAGATCTGTGTTGAGGAGTTGACCGAATGATTGTACAATCCAGTCAGATGTTCTACTATCGTGTAGAGTTTTTTTTAGCATATGGTAGGCTGGTATCTCTGGTGTTGACATGGATGGTTAAAATGGTACATTGGGTTTGTGCAACTTCGGTCTTCTGTAAAATCAAGGAAAATAAGTCCATCATATCTTCTTCGTCACTGGTGTTGGTTTGTAGTTTATCCGCCTTTGACGAGTTTTCCTAGAGTTTTTTTCATTAGACTGTCTATTCTTTAATAGAATTTTTCACTAGTGTTTCGTATGCATTGTTATCTTTGATTAGGTCCTCAGCTTTCTGAATGTAATTTTCTTCATTCATAAATACTGTTGTCCATCGTTTGTCTCCTGGTACGATGAAGGTGTTCTTCTTTTCAGTCTTTTTTTTTAAACTGTTTACTTCTCTGTAATATATGTGGGGTTAAGCTGATATGAAATTTTTGGACTAGCTCACCTCTACATGAAGTGGACACTAAAGATCTTGTTAACAATAAGCTCAGAGAACACAACTCCACCGAAACCACTGACCTGAGCTGCGAATCTCCGTCATTCCAATATATATGTGTATGCTACATTTGCGTTGTTTTTCGTTTTATATTATTTTACCGTTTAAATTCGATAGGAATGAATTTTTTATCGGTTACAAATGTGCACACTGGCAATTAATGTAGCTCATTAACGAGGCACATATTCACGTAAAGAGTTTTTCTGTCACAGTTTCTATATAACGCTATCCAACTGTCCAGTGGGATAGCTGGGGTGAAGTTCGAACCTTTAGTTTGTTAACTGAAATCTAAGTGCTTTAACGAATAGGTTACCACTCCCTATTCAATTCATAACAGGTAAGTAACTGGCATGATTTCTCAACTCATCTGCAGGTTAAAATTGTTATCATTTGGTGCTTATCTAAAATAATTGTATTTCAGCATACTGTACCACATTATGAGATAATCTCAGTCTTTTTAGCTCGTTGATGTATCAACAGACTATATCCGCTATCAATGGTGTTAAAGTAGTATTTATGAATTGTACTCACTCTTTCGGAACTATTGTTTTATTTGGTCCCTGTACGTTCAATGATGTCTTTGGTTCTTGTTGTAACGGGTGACTGCAGTTTAGATGGGCAGCGTTTTATTGATCGATTCAGTGACACGTGAAACACACACGGACGACCTAGAGTCCCGATTGGCCCTGCTTCGCTGTCTAACCCAGCCAGTTGAGTCCAGAACACAAATCACAGCCTCTGAGATATGAATCATTGTATTTCAGACATACTCTATTTATATACCAACCAAACAAACCACATCGTACCATAAAAATAGAAAACAACATCTGTACAGTATTTAACGAGTGAAATAAATCATGGCCAATAGGAAATGTACATTTAAAGTCTAAGGACATCATTATACTTAACATGATAATGATTGGTAGATTATTCTGCATCCATAACACTTCTAGTCAGAAACACCTTACTCAACCTTAGTGTTACTAACATGAAATTGCTGTTGAGCATAAGCGATACTACGTTTGGTACTTGAATAATTTGGGTTGATTTTAATAGTCTGGTTGATGAATCATATCAGTTGTAATCCTAATAATTCCAATCATCTTCATGTTTTACCATATGAGTCTGAATTATTCTCGTGGTACGTTCTTGATTGTTTGCTCAGTCATGAGTGAATTGTAATCACCTAATTAACTCTAATTCTAACTCACACAATATTAATCAAATACAAAATATTACTAAATGTCAATTTGCGGAAATGTTTCGAAAATATTGTACTACTCACGTTCTAGACGAGATTGTGAACAGAGTTCATAGATCGTTATCACTCGCTCAAATGCAAAGACTAGTGCTGTTGAAGTAAATCTATATCACTTGTGCTCTTGTACTTTTTATTACTTTAAAACTGCACTCTTGATCATTTTTGTTTTTCTCTCCTCTTAGGTTCTATCATTCCATTTTCTTTAAGACTACTTCATGCTGAATTACCATTTAATTTAAATCGTACAAATGAAGCATTAGATCGTCTATATTACTTATTAGCTATTATTGGTCGAGTACGTTTATTTGCAATTGGTTGAAATTTTTTGATGAAGTGCTACTTATTTTAGTCTTTATTGTTGACCCCTTAACTATGCTTCGACTTAGAGTCTAGTAATAACAACTGTATTTACTTTTATTTCAACGTGCAGTATCTCTACATTCCTCATACACATACGTGTGTATATACTTACTGTGTCAGAAATACACCACGTCAAAGGAACTTACAATATCATGACGAATTAGAGAGATACAATTCAAAAACGTAAATAAGATATACCGAATAATCGAGTTCGATAAAGAACAAAACCAAGGTAGATTTCATTTATTTACAAGTCTTACTGTTTGTAATAAAACTAGCAGAAACCTTCAGGAAACTCGTCAGGTTGATGACACCTCAAGTCACTGAGTTGCACGGTATGTAAGACCTTGCCTATGTATTCACGATAAACCTATAAGTATCGGCCCAGCACATCAACCTTTCTTCCTGCGGTTCACTATCGTAAACTGATTGTCTCAGCTTTTTAGTGTCAGGAAAACAATGTGTGGTTTGAATAACATTTGGAGGGGGCAGCATGCATGAAAAGTATCTAGGTGGCCGAATAGGGTATTTCAAGATTATAATTATTTGAGAAATTATATATGGTATACTATAAATGTTACTGGATCTCGGCATTACTTACACAGTAGTGAAATCGTATATATGTAGTCCTTCGAAGATAACGATGACTGATTACAGAATACTCGCCGGAAATCATCTCAAAGAGTCTAGTTGTCCGAATCATAATCCGAAATTCCTCTCATTGGCTAGACTATCGAAAATTTTGATATAGATCTTGCAACCCTGTTTACTACATGATTTGTTGATTATTTCCGAGAACGTGACCACTAAATTTGTCCACAAACCGTCAAAATACCCACCCATTGTTAAAAGTCATTTGTGATCTAACTGGAGCAATGTCCAAATCATAAAAAGGTTTATACAGTTTAAATGTATGCGTGTAAACTTATTGGTATTAATCACTTAAGTAATTCATTTTCTCAAACCGTCAAGTATGTATTTGAATTACTACCAGTTTAGTTTGAATAACTAAGTCTTTTTACTAAAAAGTTGTACACTTGGTCGGCATTTAGTCTTTGACACGGTTTTGAATCTTGGTTAGTGAGAAATGATTTTACTGAAGGAAGAGTATAAGTTCATCAAAAATTCACTCTGTTGAACCTTGCTGGCTAAATATATTACAACCACATCTTCAAATTCACTTGGTATTGTTTACCTGAGTCTTCCCATTGATGTTTAAGAGTGCAATTGACCAGTCTCTTATTGGCATTTATGCATACTGTGTGCATTGCCTTAATTCACAAATATTCTAAGCAAAGATGGTTAGTGGCTAGTAGTAGAATGCATGACTCGCGTTTCGTCCTATTTGGGACTAGTCAGCTGGGTATACCTGCATTCCAGAGTTGATGTCCACTCTGGGACTCGAACCTAGTACCGTTCGTTTCAAACACCATCGCGTTACTCACTTAGCTACTGATCAGTTGCAGTCCTAAACATCAATGGTAAGATTCAAGTAAACAATACTAAGTGAATTTAAACTTCGCCCCATTGCACAAGTAAGTGGCTATCTGGACTCAGTAGCTAAGTGGATAACGCGATGGCGTTTGAAGCGAACGATACTGGGTTCGAGTCCCATAGTGAACATTAACTCTGGAATGCAGGTACGTCCAGCTACCAGGTCCCAAATAGGAAGAAACTCGAGTCCCGGATTCCACTGCTAACCACTATCAATCTTAACCATATCTTCATTTTATGGATAACCCACGTTCACTTGACTGAAAATTTCTATAGTGTTGTTCATTACGTTACCCTTCTGAGAATTTCTATAATGGTATTCTGTCCTCATCCAACTTGTGTTTATGTGCTCACTTTAGAATCATGCATGTGTGACGTTTGAGAATACAACCTTTCTGTTAAAACTAAATTACGTGTGTGTAACAGGATTCTTTAAAGTTGAATACCTATAGAATGATCAGCTTATGATCTTGGGATCCCCTATTTAAGATCGCTTCTATTAGAAACTTTGTTTCTTCTCTTCTTCTTTCACGAACAGTAATCAAAGCAGTTTTTATTATCCATTAATTTAAAATATGTAGGGTTTAATCAGTCTAGACACTTTCAAGCATTAGGATCGTGAATAGTTAGGAGAAAAGCTAGACCCAGTTGTGACGTTAAAACCTGTTAAGTTGTTGAGTTATTGGTGCGACGTATTAAGAATTATTTACTTCCTGAGTGAGATGGTGTAAATGATGGAGATTATGCAGTCTAAGTAGTGTAGTTTTGTGCGATTTACCCCATTATTTGTCATATTTTTTTTAGAAATTAATTTTCAGTTTAGTTTCTTTTTTCTAACTCTAGATTCAAAGTAATTTAGAGAAAGGCTTTAGAGAGGATGGTTCGATAAGTGAACCAGATCTTGTTTACCGACAAGGTATGAATATTTTATACTACAATGAACTATATATATATATCGTCATATATACTCAGCTATGATACTATATATTGATTGTGATTTATAGTCACCTGTCACATTATTCTAAAACAGTTCCTAATGGATCCAAAATATTCAAAAGTGTGGTAATTATCCTATTGGTTTATGTGCAATCTTGAAGCCAGTTTTCGTAACAGACTGACACATTAAACCGGAGAATCAGCGAGAAACAATGGGAGAGATAAAAAACTTTCATCCGAGCTTCAAACTCCTCAATGGTGAGCACTAACGAGTGCACATGGTCTTGAACTCAGGAACTCCAAGTTTTGCAGTGAACACTACCTTATTCACTGAATGAGTTAGACTTCAGTAGTCCATATTTTCAAACATTATTCTTATTTTTCGTTGTTTAATTGTTACTGTTATTATGAATGACCTTACCATTCGAATTCATAGAGAGATTAAATTAAACAACAAATGTAAGTTATATCATAAATGTGCTCTAGTCATACAGTGAGGGTGATTTTTAACTTTGGCCTAACTACTCAACGATATTGTACTTCGAAATACAGCCTGGATCAAACTACGTGACAGAATAATCTGAGTTAGGTTAACTTCTACCTCATTGATCAGCAGTTTAACTTGTAAATTTCTAATTAGGGCTCCTGTTGTCACTTGTGTACCATTAAAGAGTAATTGTCGAACTTTATCTCAGAATATGATTGTTTCCTTTTGTATCTAGCCTCATTAAATTTATGGACTGCTCGTAAAATTCGGGTACTTTCCAGCTGTTTATCAATATTTCTACATAAGTTAGATTATCAATCAGCACTAAATATAGTACGTCAATTAACACATCTATGCAGTGATAATCAGGTTGTGCTTAGAGGATTCTGTAGTTTACTTGGTCGTGTTCATTTGCAGGTAGGTGTTTTTTTTAATAAGGAGAGCATTTGCAGTATCGACTCGGCTTACCATTAGGACTGTTGTACTGAGGGTTAAGCAGCTTTAGCTATAATCTCAATCAAAAATGGGCGAATAGAGTAGTTTCGTTTGAAATTGATTGGAATGTTCCGAAAGCCCACTATATTCTCGAATAAAAGACAGGAAAGATTGAGTAACCTCATTTATTACTGACTTATTTTGATTAAGGCATACTACAGCCTTTTGACATTCTTATCACAAAACGCTCGTTGTTGAATTGTCTCCACCTTTCAGATTCTCATAACCCTTGGAATGTCCCGCCAACATGACATGCTAAATGAAGATTGGTGATAAATACATTAGTAAAAAATAAAAGGGCTCTTAGCTCTATGAGGAGATCTGCAACCTTAAAATGATAAGCACCATGAAATAACCCCGCTGTCGAGAAACCCCTATTTATTCTAGTTAAGTAAAACGTTTTTATTAAATCGTTTCTTCTATATCTGGGTTGACGGAAGTGGGACCCAGATACTCAGAACAAACGTACATTTAACTTATTTATTTTAACACATAGATATTGGTACAAGGAGGCACCAAATACATATGTGCCACACAAATCCCATTCGATATGCGTGAGGGCTGTGATACTGCCCGGGTGCCCAAACCGAAGCAGGTGGCTTCCTTAGGGGGCCACTCCCCGAGCCTTCGATCTGAAGGCCTGATCCATAAGGCAGTGGAGCATCGTAAGGAGATGCAGTCCCATGGAAGCCGGTGACCAACAATTGGTTCATACGCCATTTGTCCCCTCAGGATACTGGAACCCGTGTGCACCATTGGTTTGGGATCCGATTAAAGCGCCGGACATTCGCTTTTCGTCCTTTCATTTTCGTAAACAACACCCCCGCCACGAGAAGGTAGTGAGTAGGACTTCCCTGGCAGAGGCTATATACGCGTGGCCATGTGAAAGCATTTCGAGAGGGAGAGTGGACTCTCCCCACTCTCGGCCGTACCAGGCCATTTGTTCAAAACAAAAACAAAGAACAGATGTTTCAACTATCATAAATACGTTCCAAGCATTACAGAATCCAGTACTATGTGGTGTCTGTCATATGATACGTTTAAACTTACTTTTTGAAGATCAGCCATTGAATAGATACAGTTTTAACTATTTCTTCTAAGATATGTTGGTTATATTGTTCACTTATGCCCTTGTGTTATTATACTAGTTTTTGAAATAATTTACCTTCTATACTGAGCGATACAGCTATGGTAACTTGCTAAGATGAATCACACTTTTTATCAGCATCTTCCATTACCCATAAGGATGATAAAGAATTCTCTTTATATTTACTATTGTTGTATATAGTATGTTGTCACTAATCGGTTACTCTTCTATTGTGATTAACATGACATTTTCAGTTTTCTGAATGTTTCTCATATTCCACTTGTGGTACATACATCACTATCCCATGTTCTTGAGCTAAAACAAGTAAACAAAAACCTCATCTTTTCTCAATTACTAATTCACGTCTTAAAAACATTAATCCATAATGATGTAAACTTGTCTCATTTAGGCGATAATTGGTCCAGTCTTCACTGATGGAAATTACTTTAAAGATTAACTAAACGAATTCGTATCAAGTAACACAAAGAAATGTTTTTTGTTCAGAAAATGCTCATCGTTATTTACAAATGATCACACATATAAGTCATTAATTGGTTCTCATACAATGTTCTTCCATTTTTACGCCTTGTTTTCTTCATGTTTTATTAGTTTGGGGATTTGCAAACGGCTAAAGCACTTTTCGACAGATCGTTACCTAATGCGGAATTTCCACTGGGCTATAAACTTCAATTACTGATTCTACAGAATTTTCATAAGTAAATTTTCTGATATTCATCAATGAAGCCTTATCGTGTTCATTTATTTCTTCCTTGCACACTGCTTGAACATATTGCAGACACTTGTTTACTACATTTTCAATGACCCTATCTATCATTGGCCAGTATAAATAGCTGAGTGATAACATATGTGTCCGACGCCAGGATGATATTGGTGGAGTTGCTTTAATACTTGCCATCTGAGGGTGGTCTGGACATCTAGACGCCCTCCAAACAGCGAGCATGAATTGGTAATAGATAATGCATCACGCCGTCGAAAATTCTCTAATAAATCATTGTTGACTTTGTTTACTCGACCACCGTGCACTTAACGCACCTGCTATAGTTCACAGTCTGCCAGTGTAGCATCCTCGAGCATATTCACGGTTACTGGCAAGACACAGGTCAAATGTGATACAACTCGGTTTACTTCTGCTTCAACTAATATTGCGGCAACAACACAACTTTTATCGACGGGTCTATTAGTTTTGATAATCCGTCAGTCTGTCCAAGACTGGTCTTTGACGTATATTTTATAGTAAAATTATTACTAAGAAGAAATTTAGTCTACCACTGGAATACATTGTGTGGACCAGATTGATAGAACAGGTTTATGAAATGTCACCCATAGATAATACAAAACTTTTCGACTGAAAAAAATGATTACTAGTATTTATTCTGTTTGGCTGTTTTTCTCGGATGCATAATCAATATCCTTTGGGTAGACATCCTGGGAAATGTGAAAAATACCAGCTTTGAGTCCCCAGGTCGATGCATTTGAGGCAACAATTATTTTGAAGTTAGGGCTAAAGTATATTAGAAGCATATTGATTGGCAGCACTTCCTTAATATATTTAATGATGTTTTGACACTAAGGAGACCAGTTCCATTTCGTCTCTTCGCTCAAGAGTTTATTAAGCGATGCATAATGATTAACTGGTCCCATGAATGGTTGCTTTACAGACTTAATATTCTCCGGATCACATCATTTTTCGTTGCGATTGATTGGTGGAAAAGTTACGTTTATCTTGTTTTAGTTTAGAACCATAATCTTTAATATGTAAGAGTACCATATCCAGACGGTTAAATAATTCTTCTGCGGTTGTACCAAAATTATAATATCATTCCCGTAAGCTAAGATACTTGATATATCTCTATGCATTACATCCACAATTCGCTGAAACGTGCCGAGGTCTCACTTGACTTCAAATGGAAGGCGAGCATAATGACATAGACCTCAATGTGCATTAATTGTAACTGATTTTCAGGATGATTCATCTACCTCGATCTGTAGATATGTATCAGCTAGGTCAATCTTGGCAAAGGATCTGCCTCAGTTCACGTTAAAAATCCTCTCGAACTTCTGTTGAAACTACACAGTTATAAACATTCGATATGCGGGTTGTAAAAAAATACAATTAAGCATTTTTATAAAATTCATGAATATGTACGTGTATCTACCAATTAGAACCACAGTTAATTGGATAGCACTAGACTGATTAAATGAAATAACAATTTGGCTGAGCTAATTATACAACAGTACTGTTTATGACCCATTACATGAAAAGTTTGAACCTTCCTATTCGCTACTTTTTACGACAACATGCATGTCAAACTTGACGTGGTGAGTGAATTAGAATATAAAGTATGGATATCCAGATAAAAATTTGCAATTTAAGCGTGCGTTGGAAAATCTTGTAGTTTTGTATTTAAAAGTCTATTGGTTTGATGGTTCTTTGTTATTCTAATATTTATACCAGTCTATATCATTTCTTACTTCCTTCTCACTCAGTATTGTCCATCCAGATCTCAACTTTTCAGTCCTCTATCAAGATTGTGAAGCTTTTTCCTCAGTCGTTTTCTCTACGAGTAACTTAAGGCTCATAAAACTGGTGTTTACTATCTTTGCTGCTATCATCAGTGGAAGCGTAACGTTGCATGAGATTCATTATTTCTTTCCCGTTTTGTTTCATAACAGGCATCGATGATCCAGGTTCCTAGAGTATCTTATTCTATGCTCACTTTTGTGCTTCTTTGAAGATTATTAGTACAACCAGCTATATGTGTAGCACGTTTTTTCTTTCATTACTATAATACAGCTTCATCTCTCACAGCACATATCTCTGTACAGATTATGCCCAATAGCTTTCACTTATTCTAAGGAGGGCCAATTTCTATCTCATAATTTCCGTCACTGTTTGAGTGATCAATACGGTCTTCTACACTGTTATTATATTTTTATCTGTATGTTTATTGTTGACCTGGTTATTAAAAAAGCCGTCGACCCATTAGTTTCCGAAGAGTCTCAGCTTTTACCCTAAGACGTAATAATTCTTCTGTATAAATACTCTTCAGTGTTAAGTTTAATTGGCTTACATGTTTTTCTGATTAGCTTTCCTATAGTGGGATTCTGGTTTACAAAGTGAGATTTCTAACTTAACATCCATCACTTTTCATTTATTCAGACTTTGAATCATGAATAACCCTTGACGGGCTCCAGGCGATGTTAATTTATACTTTAGATAATTGCTGTAAAGTATATATTTCTCTTCGTTAAATAGCCATACGATAGTGGTATATATTTATTTTTTAGTGCGTTGTTATCGATTGGTAAAGGGGAATATGAAGAAGCGAGAATGTTCTTTGAAACTGTTCTGCAATTAGATCCTACAAATGTGGCAGTGAGCGCCTGTTTTCATTTATTTTTATCTTTTTCACTTGATACTTGTGTTATAGTAAAACCCATAACGCGTGTTTCTTCTTGTTTGAGACTCTCCAGCAGAATTTACGTTAAACCATAGTAAGTTGTTGTTATCCTTACTGAGGCCCAAACGTAGTACCCATAACTTCAAAAATTAAAGCTTTGTCATAGAAAAACTAGAATAAATCATGTAGACACGGTTAAATAATTCACTTGTTTGAGTGTTCGTTGAGACTATAATTTATGGACGACCTTTGAGCGACGCCAAAGTGATGTTGAGGATGTCCACCTATTAACTGGAACTAAATGATGGTTATAAACCAACGTGCGGAATTAGATTTAGAGTTTTCATCACGAACTAACATAAGCTGAAATACCAAAACTCTAGCCAAATAAATGGACGAATTATGCGCCACAATCCAAGACCTGTTATCCCAAATCTGATTGGTTCGTCCGTAAATTATAGTCTCGCAGAGTGTTCTTGGAAAAGTGTCTAAAGTCATGTGACTGAAATTCCTCCGATGAAATATATCATTTTCCCAATTAATAAAAGCTAAACTAATTCGTCATCCAAAACAATTTTTACTGTTTTCATATTTACTTACGCATCTAAAGGATGTTATTGTCCTGAGAGACCAATTAAAGACAATAAATCAGTGATTTGGTATCCTAGGTAATATGTGCGATCTTCTACGTTGATAAATATAAAGTTTTTATGACCAACTTGGGAGTCCTTTGAAGTACACACCAACGAGACATCGCGGCATCGAAGACAGAGCTCTCTAGTCTATGATACTTTCATATCAGCTACTGAATACTGCGGTTCACATTTCGGAACTCAGTTAGTTGATTGGTATGCATCTAGCTTCCGCACCAGTAGAAACTAGGACACATTCAGACTTCTTTCTCCGTAGTTCTTCAAATCTCATGGGTGAGTGCCACTGTACTTCAAACCATATTGTGGTAGTAAATGTGTTTTCACTTTTATGGAAAACACAGTAAGTTAGACTTCTGTGTTAATTGTCAATTTCGTACTGTGAAAATATAAATCTGCAATAAGGATAAATATTTCTTAGGGAAGACTCTAAGTCATGTAACCTGTGAGTAAAACCACGTATCTGATGTCTAAAGACTTGTTATGTTTTCTGGACCATTGTGTTTTAAATTAGCATCAACAGGACACTTTCATCGTACCAAACTGATTCCGTGATTGTTTATGACGATCAAATTTCACTCCTCTGTTGTTTAGAACATTTATAGTAAAAATGGCATAGATTTGTCGTTAGTTCAGTACTCTTATGCAAATTATTAAAATAAAAACTCATGTGGCTAGACCTATAATAGACAGTATGTTCTTTCCATAACCTCAGCTCCTACTTTTCCAGACAAGCTGTTTGGAGAACGGTAAGACTAAAAACAGCAAACCGAGGTGTGTGGAAGAAGTTGTACTACCGACTCTATAAGGGTGTGGTAGAAGTTATTTGTTCCTCCAGAACAGCCAGTATTTACAGCGAGTCAATGAACATGATAAAAATGTACATATATATACATAGTGAAATGAATTAATCATCGAATTAATTAAGCGACTAAAATAGTAAGGCTAGTAGAATGAATGTATATGCGTAGGCAGTAAGCAATGCTCAGGCATACATATTCATACAAGTGCAACAATAATAAAGGTACAATGATATAAGTTGTTATAGTACGGATGACTCTGTCCGTTAAATAAGTTAACAAAAGGGCTTAACCAAATTAAATGTGAACGAACTCGATTGCACGTGAGCTGCTATATCCTTAAATATAACCCTTCTCACTTATCTTTATCACCACGTGCCACCAATGCTAATGACTGAAGTTAACGAAATGTTGATCTTGGTTTCTAGAAGCCGGTCACATGTTGGAGCTCTTGATGTTCAGACCCTGTGTTAGATAGAACAACAAGCTTCCTTGCCTAGGATTCCTGAACTCTGCGCAATCGATGTATTGCTACTTCCTATGAACTAACTGGTGTAAGTATAGCATTAAGTTGAAAAGCAGAACAGGCTCTACTAGACTGGTGGTTTGTCCGACTGAGCAGTATAGTCGGAACTCTGAAAGATAAGATATCACACTTTCCTCGTCATCTCTGCCTACGACCCCACTAATCACAGTTCGGATGAAATAATAGACGAATTTTATGAGAAGCTTTCTAGACTCCGTCAAAAATCAAAACGCTTGGATATGGTGATAGCGGTAGGTGATTTTGTACCGAAATATGTAAACTAAAGCAAACTGAAAAGCTCTTGGGACGGATCTTACGATGCCGCGTCTCAGTACACTGATAATGGTGACAGCCTGTTGTCATTGTACTAGATAACCGTCTTTTCGGCAAGCACAAACTTTAATTACAAGTAAAGCATCATCTGAATTTGCGACCCATATAATTGACTGGACAATGGACTTAAATTGCCCACGTTGCCGTTAGCCATCGTTGAAGAGGCTCGATATGACTGTCACCCATTCTGAAGCATGCATTGTCCACGTCTTCAGTCAGTAACAACGTAGAACTTCGTACGTACGTACATCAGTTCTAGTTGTCATGGCCATAACACTTTAGGAAACAGTTTAATTGGCCTTAAACCGCATTTCAGTTATCCACTGTATCCTAACGATCTTACTGGCAAATTGATGCAAGTCCTCCAAAACTTAATGAAACAATAAGCAATCTATAACAAGCGGAAGCCCGATAGATTAGCGTGAAATTTTTGGGGATGGTGGTCCAGTCTTAGCAGTTGCTTGATCTGAGCCCTTAGCTAAAATCTGTGAATTGTGCGTAATCTCATCTGACAGGTTTCGATCGCTGATCGTCCCAATTTAAAAGAAAGGAAAAATCCTTTTGTGACAATTACAGCAAAATCAGTTTGACTAATTTAATGTCTATAATATTATCTACAATGATACTTTGACGCCTAACTAGAGCTTATGAAGAGCAAATGTGAGAATGTTAGACTGGTTTCAGACGTAGACCTCGATTTATAGACGATACTCAACGTTCAGCAGATTCTTGGCACATAGATATAGTTTTCGATGTCCGACTACAGTTGTGTTCCTTTATATTATGGTGGAGTTCTACTCTGTAGATCGTGATATTCTATGCCGACCTCTATCATTGACAAACGTACCGAATAGACAGTTCTCTACTCGATCGCTACTGGTCAAGTTAGAACTTACGTCGAACCTGGATATACCAAGATTGCTAGGTGATTTGGGCTATGAAAATAGCGTAAAGCTGTTAGATAGGTGGAGAGAAATCATAGCGTATACATGTCTGTATACGAGTAAACTTTAATACTATGTAACAAATATTTGTTGTTCCCCTTTTCTATAAGCCCCAGTGTCATCAACACTAAAACAAGAATTAGAAACTGTATAAGCACATTGATAAATAAGTAGTAAAATAAAAGGGCTAATCGGAGGAAATTCCGTGAAAAAATAGGAAAGATTGAGTGAGTAAACCGAACATATAACGGTGACTGGTTGCTGCAGCTATCCTCGGACAATTGTTTATTTCTAGCAAGCACCAACTATGAGCACGATATACGCATTCGTCTGATAGGGCAACCGACTCAACGGTAGACCCAAATAGAATACATTGCAATCAGCCTCTGTTAGAGAAGCTCAATAGAAGACCGACTCATTCTGAAGCATATATTTGGACCGATGTACATATATCCAACGTTTGACATTGCATTTAACGGACTGACTGTTCCAGTTTCTTTCAATCAATAAAGCTACGTTCGAAATAGATCTATCGAATGTAGGAAGCTTCCCAGCATATGTTCCTGCTAGCTGACTGTGATCGATAACTTTATCGATCATTACTTTCTATATGCCGATTTTAACGTTGTACGATGGCATCTAAGAATAATTTAGCCTCAAAGAAATGGATATACATTTCTTTTACTAAATTGCTGTTTTCAATGAGTCTTATCACCTTAGGTGAATATATAAATAGTTTATGAGATTGACATATTCATTTACAGTCGAAAATTGAAGTTAACAGTCACTTTACCGTAAGTTGTCTATGTTCAATTTTTATTGCTATACGATCTTCCTCATTTCATTCATATTCCACAATTCAGGCGGCCAATAATTTAGCTATTTGTTCTTTATATGTTGGACGACTATCAAAATCAATTGAAGTGTTGGAGGATCTAACAACAACTGGACTAACTAGTCAACCAATAAACAATTTAGGTGTTATTACAACTGCTTCAACATTTACAGGATTTTCTACACCATTCATGTTCAATGCACGATGTCGTCGATTCTGTCTACATGATGTAATGATTTCAAATTTAGCTGTATTATATGAGGTAGAGTCAGATCTGGCCACATTGAAAAAAGTTAACTTACTGAAAAAGTTGATTGAAATATCTGGCGAACCAGTGCACATATCATCATTTAAATTATCTATTACACAATAAAACAATAATTAGTATGTAATATTAACAAATATCTTTCATTCTAAATCACTTGAATGAAAAAGAACATTTATTTGATTGATGCCTATAAAAACATATTGTTAAAACTAACCTCCAAAATTATATCTTATATTAGAATATAATAATTCACTGTTTCGGTTTTACTTACACCTGTTACTCATGGAGAAGCATAGGCCGCTCAGCAGCATTCTCCATCCAACTCTGTCCTGGGTAATCCTTCCCAGTTATATATTCAGTATCTATTTGTTCTTTAGATGTGTGCCTCCGATTCCTGACTCAATGTGTTCTTTGGTCTTCGTCTTTTCATTAACTCTTTGGATTTCCGACTTGATAAGATTGTCGAATTTTTACCACTAGAATAAGAGACAATTTTGAACGCACAATGGATGTTAGACAAATAGAAACGATAAAGCAGTTAGTATTATCTTATAAATTAAAAGAACACGAAGTTCAGTGAATGGATTTATCATGTAAAATCGTGTACGTGTAAAAAAAACTTTCAAGATTAAGGACGTATGAGCAAAGAATACATATGATGATGTAATAGAAAAGTTATGATACTGGATTATATAATGTAAGCAGTAAAGATCTAAGATTGTGTATGCAAATAGAAAGGCTTGTACGTAAACAATAGCTTTTAATCTGAAAGCAGTAAGATAGATAAAACGTTCGTGTTACTATAATTAAAAGTAATAGCGGGGTTAAATGAAATGATGTTGAAAAGAATTATCGATATGAGAAAACACTAAAGAACGAGAATATTATCAAATACGAAATACAATAATGATCGTAGTTATCGATTTCTATAGCTGTTATGACTTTATGTCCGGCTTTTTATCACGTGATTTATGCGCCAATCAAAATACAACTTATACAATCTCAGCACTGTGCCTAACCAATGACGTTTGACCGGTATGAGCAGCCTAGCGTCCAAATTGGTCCTATGTTCGCCTAGCCCGTCCACTTGAGTCCAGAACAACAATACCAGCTTCCACTATGTGAATCATATATTTCAAACATAATGAGTTTATATATCAAACAAACAGACCGCAATGCACCATAAAATAGGAAATAACATTTGTGCGCAATAAAGCCAAAAAGTAGCCGTGAACGTGGGAGGCAGTAGTTAATAAACTGAGCATAATTTAGGGACAGTAAATCGTATAATAATAAATTACAAGTCATAATAAAGCTTATAATAAGAGGGATATTGTTATAGCGTGAAAAATAAATATGCTGATTAAGGGATAGCGAATTATTGATCGGACCAAAGACGCGCAAACACGTAGAACGACCTAGGGTTCTGATTGGTCTCGCTTCCCTGTCTAACCCAGCCAGTTGAGTCCAGAACGAAAGTCACAGCCTCGGATATATGAATCATTATATTTCAAACATACTCTATTTATATACCAAGCAAACAAACCACATCGTACCACAAAGTAGAAAATAACATTGTACAATATTGGCCAACAGGAAAATAACACGTTAAATAAATATCGACCAATGGGAAATGTACATTTAAGGTCCAAGGACACCATTGGACTTAACATGATAATTATTGGTCTATTTTTCCGACTACCTAACACCTCCCCCTTTTTTTTAAAAAAAAAGATCCGGAGTTAATATCTGGATTTTTTTCGCGTCTATCCTCCCCCTCGAAATAATGTTGGGTCTTCATAAATCCAAATTACAATTAATTTGATTGTCTTTAAAACATATTGCACAGGGAATGCAGTAAAATCGATCAGATATTGAGGATAAACGCCATCCAATTCGAAGTCATCAGGGTTTAAATCTTTAGTAAGTAGTGGATCATTATGATAATCGGCGTCCAACAAAACTGTACCAGGTTCTTGGTTATTATTTGATACGTGAAACACATTTTCTGGCAAAACAATGAGATCTTCTCGTGAGCTGGATATGTTACTGTCTGCACATGTTGTTTCGGGGTTGATGGAGTTTGAATCCATTACCGGGCATGTTTCTGAAATGGAAAGTACTGGACCAGTGGGCGCATCATGGATGACTGTTTCGTTTGAAGTACAGTTCATCGAGGATTCATGGAGGCTGCTGTCATTTTCCAGCTCACTGTGTATTTCAGATATCAATCCATCCACTTCCGTCGCATCTTCATAACATGAGTGATTTAGCAGCTGCGTGCGGAACTTGACTAATAACTCCAAATGTCGTTCAAAGAGCAGCTGTAATCGATCGGAAGGGAGAGTCATTTTTTTGAATCAGCACCTGTGATGAAAATTACTGTATGACTAATGACCAATGTGGTTCAAGGACACTGATGACAATCTGGATACTGATTGGTTGAATAATTAGACTGGATTTCGTCCAATTACAGAATGACTTTGGATTGTATCTTTTCTTCACCCCGTCGCCAATTGTTATAACGTGAAAATAAATGCTCCTGGTTAAGGGATAGCGAATTATTGATCGGACCAAAGACGCGCAAACACGTAGAACGACCTAGGGTTCTGATTGGTCTCGCTTCCCTGTCTAACCCAGCCAGTTGAGTCCAGAACGAAAGTCACAGCCTCGGATATATGAATCATTATATTTCAAACATACTCTATTTATATACCAAGCAAACAAACCACATCGTACCACAAAGTAGAAAATAACATTGTACAATATTGGCCAACAGGAAAATAACACGTTAAATAAATATCGACCAATGGGAAATGTACATTTAAGGTCCAAGGACACCATTGGACTTAACATGATAATTATTGGTCTATTTTTCCGACTACCTAACAGATATAAATATACATAATCTAACTATTGAATAATTATGCAATAAGAATATTAGCTCATTAATAGTCCTCGGAAGTTACCTGTAATTTAATCTCCCCTAGGATGTAACAATAGCAACTGCCCCACAGTCGATGACCTAAGATCAGTTAGACAGGACGAAACTTCCATAATCGATAAGCCTCAGGGTAAATTGGGAGAACGTACACAAAATGGGAATAAAAAGTGTTAAGTAGCTAAATGTGAATCATAAACGATCATAACGAAATATTTGTGAATATCGTTTGTGCGAATAGTAGATTCATTGTGTGGACTAGGATGCTTGTGTGCCACTTGGTCCATCGATTAAAATTTAATCCTCAGGCAGAGGCGCAATATCAAGGGGATTCATTCCCTTGATAGCTGATAGCCAAAATAGGTTCTTAAACGATCCGGTTATATGCACGACTGTTTCGTAAACAGGACCTCCTAACCCCATAGACTGATCGTTCGTACCAGTCCAGGTAAAAGTCCGGACGTTTACTCCTTATCCGCTCACTTTGGCAAACAACACCACAACCGAGAGAAGACAATGAGAATCCTCTAGCTTACGCCATATATATGTGGCTCTATGAGAGCATTTCGAGAGGGAAAGCATATACCCCATCCCAGATCATAGTAAAAATCTGACTCCTCAAAGATGTTACGACTTCTGGCCATGCATAGTTTTCGAATTCTTGTCTAACTGCTGAAACGCTAGATCCTCTAGAAAATAATAATAATAATGAGGAAAGATGAGTCAGAGTTCCTGTTTTCCAGCTGATGTTTCAAAATGGAAGTCATTCAGACCTAAACTCAACGGCTCACGTCTACTCATGTGCTGACGCTTCCCACAGTCCTGCACAAACACGTAGACGATATAATGAGACCTTCAATCTTCTCAAAATGTTTTGTTATTCAAAATATTACCCCACTAACCAGTTTCGATTCTCAGTTGTACGCCCGTGTCAGCACAGATTCTCAAAGACGTCTTCCTTCCCTACAGTATTCTCTAACAAAACTTTCCAAACTCCCTTCACAATGTATCTTCAGCCTGGAAAATAAACTAAAGCCTGATGGCGATCTAATTGAAAACAATTGTTCGCTTATATGTGTTGTTCTAATTTTCACAATGTGAATCTTTAATATTCTAAATTACATTTGTTGAGTCCAATCTTACACTTCAAGAGGAGCAGCAATTAGCAGTAACAATGTTGTTTATTATAGACACTAAGCTGTAAATTATTAATTGAAAAGCAGTTCTCTCGTGGCCACTGGTGAAGTGGAACCTTGGGAAATTCATTAGTTTTATAAATTGAGGCGTACTCAAAGGCCCATTATAGTTTATCCGTGTATCAGTCGCAATAGGCTCGTTATTACATATATTTCCTTGTGACTCCGTCACTAACCTGTTTCATATTAAAGAATCGAATCTCCAGTTGTAATAAAAATAATGTTTCTTTTATTTTCAATAAGTCACTTAATCGGGGAAATACGAGTATTCAGGCAATTCGCCTCTAGAGGACAGTAAAAACAGTGGGTGGTCACATGATAGCTTATAAAATGAATCCAGTTTCAAATTATCTAAAAAAGATATGCGCAATCAGTTTAAATCACTTATATTGTAATGACGTTTAGGCCACCCATTTGATTTTACAACTGAATCACTGACTTACTATGACCTATATTTGACGAAAGTTTGGATGGTAACCAAGAAAACATCTTCACTTTACTAACTATAGAAATGCTTTTCAAACCCAACAGAGTAAGCTATTGGTTGACGATTCATACAAAGTGGGAACATTCAAGGGACATGAACAAGATTTGTTGATCGATTACATTGAGTGAGCACTGAGCAGTCAGCTACAAAGTAGGACCAGGCACATATATGCAACAGTCCAAGTTGTCATATCTCATTAGCACAACAAGATGAACACCGAATTCATAGTGGTTAATTCAATCGTGGTAATATATAAAAGGATTGAATATAAGGATATATTACAGGATGAAAGACATAAAACAATTTTATTCTCATAGTTTAAGGGGAGAAAGAAAGTGTATACAACTACCCCATTGTTATCGATTCTGAGCCATGTCACCAAGTCTCCAACCATTGGTTGCGATAGTCACGCAGACCCCAACCGAGTAGTTTGCATTTACCAACATGACTAAGACTAGGAGTTAGTGACTTCAAGCACTGATGCCGCGTTTTGGTTTGGCTGCCCCTAACTTCTTTTCAACCATCACCAACACTAGTCAGCATTGAGCGTCATGGTAATTGGTGTTCAGGCATACGCAACCCGTGGCCCAGACATCATTCCCCAATA